GTTTTTGTTTATTTGTTTTTAAGATCTTCAGTTTTCCTTAATGTTTCTTTACCTCGAACAAATTCTAGTGCTGCACTAAGCAGATGCTCGCTTGAAACCTCTAGCGCGTCAGGCCTGTGGATGAGAACTGCCGTTAAACCTCAAAGCAGTTGCTTTCACTGTCCCAAAAGTCAAACTAAATTACCGGGCTATTATAGGATTTCTTGTTGCTAATGGAAGCTGTCTTTCTAGTTGAGAAGAAACCTCTCTGTCCTAACTAGTCGAGGACTAGGTTGCTAAAAGCCTGTTTCAGAGTGTCTAGTCCATACAGAGTGGTTGCCACTTTCTTATAACTAAGACGCCATCTTCCAGGAGCTGCTACTTAGTTTTATCGTAATAAAATTAAATTGTTATTGTTTAAATGTATTTTGTTTAAATGTAAAATAAGAGAATCTGAAGGAAAGGAGGCTGAAGTTCTGTGTCTTGTATTTGTGTGTAAGGAATGGGAGAGGAGAATTGTCTGATGACAGAAAGAAAACTGTTAAGTAATAGGAAAGCTTCCAACTGCCACAGTAACAGCAACACCTCTGCCACATGTCAGCGAGCATATTTTAATCCTTCTATCTTAAATTTCAAATTACTGAAGATGAGTATATCTAGGTGTGGCTGTCTTGATAGCTGCTTCAGCCTGTAGCTACTTGGGTAGCCTAGGAAAGAATTGCGTAGTATCTCTGTTGGGAGAAGCTTTTTCTATAAATGTAGTCTCTCCAGATGTCCTACTGAGGCAGGAGTCCATCTTGAAGATTTGTGTTTCTCTATGAGACACTTTTATGATGTCCTGTTGGGTATATGGCGCGTGCTCTTCTGTGTGTTAGATTGATTTGAGGTACCATGACATTTTTCTTGGGAGGTGAATGAGCCAGAAAAGTAGAAAGAAAAAGTTTCTGGGACTGGGCTCTCTGCCTAATGCCAATTCCTCCTGGTTCCCTTGGTACATAAGCAACCAGAAACGCTTACTGGGGAACAGGAGTAGCATGTCCACAGAACCGTCCTGTCCCCTGTTGACAGTGACTGTAAATGAGTTTAAGCTGAATTGATAGAGGTAGGGTGGAAGAGGCTGTTTTTCTAGTTAAACATTTTAAACTGTCAGAGAAGGTGAAAAATGTGTTGGACTCCTTCCTGTGGCCTTTTCCTCCAAAGAGTCTGTCATGCAAGAAAGGGAGGGAGAATGTGCCCAGTGTGGATCAAGCCCTTAGCTTTTCCATGTTCGTTTGTTTTTATTGTAAGATAAACCTTTCATGTTTTATTGTTACGAAGTTAAAGCCTGGCCTAGAGGTGCTGATCTTTAGTGGAAACAGCTGCAGACGGAGTGTCCCTTGGTCAGGTGGGAGGCTCTTTGAAGCAACATGTTGCCTCTTTAAAAGGAAATTGAGCATGTGAGAACTTAAACCTGTAAAACTCATCAGCGACTCTGCCATTGTTTATCTCTTGTGTAACTTTATATAGAATTAAAGTGAAATGCATTACTTTGTTTCCAAGCAAAGATGGTTTAACTCCCCCTTGGTCTTGGAGACGCAGGAAATGACCACACAACCACAAATACTTCCTAGTGGAATGAAGATGAGTGACAAACTATCCACAGAAATAGCTTCTTAACCAGGCAGGGTAGGAAATTAAACGTAGCTAAAGCTTCTGGTTTTAAGTTAAAACCAATGCCAACTGTTCAAGCCAACTAGAAAAGAGCAAATGTCTATGCACTGGCTTGCACGAGTGGGGAGATGTGAGCGTTTCTTGTTGAAAGGGGTGTTTTGATAAGCAGCAGTTTTCAGCATGGTTTCAAGCCCGTTCTCCAGTAGGAAGTGGAATGAACCTAACTGGCCTTGGGATCAAGGAAGCGAAGAAGGCTTTGTTTTTCAAGTTGCCCTCTTGTACCGAAAACAAAAAACATTAGCTGTCGGATCTCTTTTATTTCCCTGTAGCTTTTCGTTAACCTAGAGCAGGGTCTCAGATCTCTTGCCATCATCTCTTTAAACTAATCTGCCACTGTATTCCTCTTCCTGTTGGAGGAGGGTGGGGTGATGGCCTCTAAAATTGACACCGTGTTTTTTTTTTTGTGGGGAGCAATTAAAAATAAAAATCTTTTTTCTAGAACTAGACTTAATCACTTCTTCAGAAATTTTGAATTGTGTGATACCTATAGCACCATGGTCAGCTATAGTGATTGCTGTACTTAGAAGAAACGAATGTGATGGGGGGGGAAAAAAACTTAGAAACAACATATCCTTCTGTTTGAGAAAAGGCAGTCGTGTGAGACCGTGCTTAACAATGTTGCTGGGCGTTAATGTGGGGGAAGACCTAGGTTTTGTTTGGGGAAGACCTAGGTTTTGTTTTAGGCCTTGTATTGATTTGCAGTTGGCAGAAATAATACATTTGCCACCTCAAGTGTATTCTGTGGCATCCCTGATGGCCAACGGGAAGTGGCATTGATGGCGTCTGTGTGGTGCCCTTGCAAATGGGGGTGTAATGTGAGAGTGTGCCTGAAGGAGGTGAAGAGAATACAAAATAATGATTTCTAGATGTAGATAGCAAGATGGCTACTGTATCAACTATAGCTGTTTCCTTAGCACAACCTTTTTTTTTTTTTTTTTTTAAAACAGAGAAGTAACCAGTTTACCATCACCCTGGTAAGCAGGCTTGTGGGTTTGACTGGTAACATGGAAAATGTGGCGACATTAGCAATTGCTTGGGCTCTGCATCTAGATGATGCACAACTTCTCATCCTGTAAATCATTTCTCATTGATTAGCTAAACTGTTTGGATTGGCAGAGGGAATCTTCTTGGACAGGAAGCGCAGAACAGTATCGCTCCCTGCCTGACAGGCCGCCTCAACTGGACAGTTCAAACAACGCCTAGTGCTGTCTGGTCTGAACTGAAAGTAATTACCTCCAGAAAGTCCTATTTGGACCTAAAGTATAACAGAACAAAACAAAAAGGCAGCATAACTACATATTGTAGAAGCCTGTCAGAGGGAGCCAGGTCAGAGGGCTGAAACAGTTGTCCGTTGGATGAATTCTTGAAGATAGTAATTATCCTTAATAGCATAAACATTCAGCTCGAGCCAGCACCAGCTGTACTATAGCAAAGGTGCAGAAGGAAGGCCCTACTTGGGGAGGGGGAGCGGAGGCGTTAGCGTGGATGAACTACTGCTCTTAGTAATCCGTGATGTCTCTTCCACTGTGAATGTAAATGCTGGGCAGTGGCACAGTACGAGTAGAGTTAGCTGTTTATAAGAGATTCTCTAAGTATTGTATCTCTTACTGGCTGAAATGCAGAAAAGGCCTGAAGCTCTGACCGGATATCTGAAGAACTGAGACTTTCCTTAGCTGTGCAAATGATTAGAGTGAAAACCTGACCTTCTGCAAAACGCTCATTTTCTAAGATGTCTGGGGGAGTTATGTCAGGACCACTTGGCAGGCGGTCAAAGTCCTTCCCTGCAATTGCATGTTTTGTAAGCCTACTCTAAAGCTGTAATGACCTGGTAAAGTAGTTACCTCTATCACAATTGGATCTAAAGAAAATATATAATAAAATGAAGAGAGTTTTCAAAAGCAACTCCATTTTCCAGTGCTCAGTAAATACAGATAGTGAAGTAAATTGGAAAGTAAATATCAGGGTTTTTGTTTGACAGTTATCTCTGTTTTAATATTCAAGTGTTTTTTATCAATGAAAAGCATAAGGTGCTTAAGTTTACTAGGTAGTGCAGTGAGTGTTGTTTCAGTAATCTGTGCTTCAATAGGAGCTACCGTTAGTGTGCTTTTTGCAAGGAAAAAGGTTTAAAAAGCAAAAGGAAACTAAAAAAAGATCATTCCTATACACCAAGAGGGTATAGGATTCTTTGGCATTGTTCTGGACTCGACCCACTTACTAATGCATTCAACAGGAGCTTAAATAAGGATCACATGCTTTTAGCACTACTTTAAAGAGAAGTTTTTTAATTAATAAAACACTCCTTATCAGTTTGATTTCATGCATTAAAACAAGAGATTCAAACCCATAACAGAATGGGGGTGTTTTGTTGTTGTTTTGGGGGTTTTTTGGCAAAATAAACCTGAAACTGTTAAGTGTTTTAGGGAGCGCATATATGGCTTTCTTCAACTGTTGGGCACATCTAAAATTGGTGTCTTTAATGGATATAACTAAAGGTAGAGTTTATCCACTGAACTCAAATTTTTCACTGTTATATTTATTGGGTTTTGAGAAGAATTTTGCAGACTTGCCTGACTTCTTACAAGAAATCATAAGTGCACCTTCCAAGGAAAGCAAAAATTATTTTTAAATATGCCAACTAAGTTCTTTTAATGGTGCTGGATAAATTTTTGAACTGTTGCAATTATATCTATATATAGTATAAGGATGTGAAAAGTCATTCATTCCTAATGTGTTTAAATATGCTCCATAATGAATGTTGTGGATGTGAAAGATAAGCAGCCTGGAGCTTTCTTTTGCAAGGTATAGAGTATCACAAAGCATCAAAGTTTTGCTGCCCTCCGGACACACATTGAAGTAGTTAAAGTACTGAGATAAACGCAATACAATAAGATATTCATCTGCAAAATCTAAAGCTCAAGGACACAATAAGTTTTCATTTAAGTGTTTCACATTTACTGACAATGAGCCAAATAAATCTTACTTCCACATTGTAGATGGTGACAGAAATTCAGTAACTTTCCTTGGGATGAGGATTTAGTTTGTTTCCCAAATCTTTCCAATTATAAAGTTCTTGAATGGGTAGGGATTCACATCGTTTATTAAAGAAAACATTACGTTTATTTAGAAAAATAAGAATTATTTTTTCAGAATTGCTTTTTAAGAATATATATATTTTTTTTTTTTTTTGGTGTGCTGAAATACCATCTATTATGGCATTTCTGAACTGGAACAAAGAATTAATGAAAACAACTGAATTATTTTCCATTACTATGCATTATCTTAGTCCTCACTCACTGCATTGTTTCTTACAGGTGCTGGATTTGGATTAGGAATTGTTTTCTCAGTCATCTTCTTCAAAAGTAAGTATATTGCGCTAATCTTGACTGCCTGGTTTCCAAACTTGTGTCTATTGTGGGTGCACTTTAAAGCCAAGAAATCTGTGAGGCTTGTAAACCTTAATCAGCATGTTATACCAACTCCTTCATTATTGCGCATTTCTTTTCAGTTGAAATGCGATTACCTAAACTTCTAGCTGTTGTGTAACCAGGTTGTTGCATGTGGCATCTCTCTGAATTCCTACTGTGCTCAACTCAAGTTTTGGAATTGCAGAAAACCCGGAGCCAAATTACTAGAGTCGTGTGTCTAGACATCATCTTATGCCAGCCTTGCTGGGGTTTTAAAGCTAATCTCAGTTCTTTTTTTAATTATGCCTTGTTAACAGAATAATTTTCAGTTCCTGAGTTCAGAGTTTGCTCTCTAATTCTAAATACCATATCTTATTGCTTAGTCTTGTTGTTTTTCTGAAGTGGAGTTTTTTGGTTTGTTCTGTTTTTTTGGTTTTTTTTGTTTTTTTTTTTTAAGATGTCCTGACTACTAGAACTTAAATGCTTAGTGTGCATCTTCCTACTCATTGATTCCTTTATAGGCATACGTTTGACAAGACTGTCACTGTAACATGAAATAAAGAGTTTTTCTTGAATTTTGGTTTTCCCCTCTGCTTACCTTTCCCACAGGAAAGACATGGCCTATTGCTTTTGGATCAGGGATGGGGTTAGGAATGGCTTATTCCAATTGTCAACATGACTTCCAGTCTCCGTATCTTCTCCATGGCAAATTTGTAAAAGTAAGTATGGGTACTAATTACTACTAATTGGTAACTAATTATTAGCATTAAATGGTACATCTAGACACCATTTAAATGAATATTCCTATCCCTTTCCCAAAGAGTACCAGTTGGAAGAAACTTGCGTTCCCCTGGTCTTAAGGTATTTTGACTATCTGGTGCATAGGATTAGCTCAGCAGATCCTGCGGGTAGGTTTTCCCACAACTCGTAAACATGTGTAATAAAATACATATTAGAAAAGCTGAAAAAATAAGTTAAGAGTAACATTCCGTCTTCAGCTTTGAAAAGGGACCAGCTAGGAAGAAACTGTAAGTCATGTCAGGCATATGTTTCAGTGGGTCTGCCTGTAGAAGCCGAGCTTTAATCTTTTGCAGGTTTTTTTGCCACATGAGAACTCTAATCATTCTTAAATTTTGTGGCTTGTTTGGCTGGATAGTCACGTCATAGTTTGAAGAACTTGTACACTTTTAAAAGTAGTGAGGAGGATCATTTAAATGACTTTTGAGTGTTATCATCACTGATGCTGAGATAAAATATTTAAAAATAGATTGATTAGGAGGAGCCATCTGCATGCTTACAAACTACCTATAATGACTTAGGGCACTCTAAGTCCACAAATTAACTCCGTTAATATTCTCTTTATTTCTTCACATGTAGAAGTTGGGACCGTTCTTGTGGTAATTTATTGTTGTGGCATCTAGGAAAAAATGGGTGTTTTGAACCTGTGAAGCCATAGACTGCTAGAAGCATTTCAGTGATACCACTGGAGAGACATCCACCAGGACGTATTTTCAGTTAATTTATTACTTTAGAAAGTACTGAGGTAAAATGTTCTGCTAAAGCTTTTCATGGCAAGTAAAAAGAATGCACAAATTGATCATGTATCTCTCGTCAGCCTGATAAAAGAGACTTGAAGGTACGTTAGTCTTTTTCTGGGTGCAGCTAGAGGGGAAAGTTAAGTCCAGTCCTCCTCAGGTTTGTTGGCAGATTGGCTTTTGCCAGCCTCCTGCAGCCTTGCCAGACATACCTGTTTGAGAAGAGTCTCTCCAGCTGACTGTAAAGACCTGGAAACAGTATCAAGACTCTAGAACAACTACTTCAAAATAAAATACTTCGGAAAGCAGTACAGAGTAACTGGGCCTTATATCCAGCTGATAGAGCGTTCCCAGCTACAGCCCAGTAGTGATGTTCTAGAACCAGAAGTCTCTGCGTGACGCTCCTGGCCAGATTTGTTAACGTGAAAAACGCGTTAGCTTTCTACTTCACCCTGGGAGTTTTCTTCCAGCTTAGATCCCCAAAAAGAAACCGGAGCGAAGTGTCTATGATTTCACATGAGTGGTGAATGTCCTGTTCACGTGTCCTGAGAAAACAACGTTCACTGAAAGATGCTTGTTACTAGGGATGCTGGGCAACAGAAAGCCGACTTTCGGGTCAGCCTGGTAGGGGTTTTTATTTGGATTAAGGACTAATCTGTGCTCTGGAGCAAGGGTGGTCCCTCAACACATGAGGTAATTGAAAGGACGCTTCCCAGAAGAAGCACAGCTGCCTGCATGGCACAAGACTAGACAAATAGTTTCCAGCACGCTGTCTCCACTAGCTTTCTCTGGCACAAAGAGGCTGAACATGCTGAGAGGGAAGAGGCAGATGAAGCCATCTAATGGTTAATGTCATTAATTCTCTCCAAAATGTAGTGTCATGGATAATGGCTCCAGGGTTATTACAGCAAAATTAGTTCATTTCTGGTGGTTAGGAGTGTGGAAAATATTGTTGTATTATCACTCATCTGTTTTTTCCTAGAAAATACTGTTGTAAGAAAACTCTTTAGGACTTCCTTTGCAAAGTTGGATTTTTGTTCAAGTGCTAACTTGTCAAAATGCAAGAGTCTGCAAGACAGATCAGCTTTTTTAAGAGAGAGAGAAATGGAGCATGGATTGACTTGAATGGAAGTTAATTCTGGTTTTCTGAATCTGTCAAGTTCATAGGCTCCTAAGGATAATTCGGACTGAAGGGTCTTCAGGAGGTAATCTAGTCCAACCTCAAACCATGATCCACGATACAGTCAGATGAGGTTACTCAGGGCTTTATCCTTTATTCTTCAGAATCGAGTTCTTGATTCTGGATCCCGAGTGAGAATGAGACAGGAGAGAGGACCTTCATGATACCAAATAATCAGGCGATTACAAAGCAACTTTGCACCTGTTCTGGGTGTAGCTATCGTCATACTGCCCATTCTCTGGCTAATTAAATTGATGGTGGAACACTGACACCAGTAGAAGAGGCCATCCATCTAGAGCAAGTGACTACTTAAAAGGCAGCAAAATTTGAATCAGTAGTCATATTATGATTCTGAGGGCTCTTAAAGTCATTTCATCAAATGAATTTCACTGTGACCTCCGCTGAAGTTAAAATTCGCAGCCAGCAGTAATTCCTAGGCTTAAAATTGTATGGCTGAAAATTAGGTTACCTCACAAAATGCTTAGTGTCATTTTCCAGATATTTAGCCTGTACTATTTATCACCAAAAGCACCCCCTACTTTTGTAGCAATGGGCGTTATATTGCTTTGCAACAATACGAGTTGAAATTCATCAACTGGAGCCTTTCCTTCTGCTCTTTGTGGAAGTGATGTCTATCTGATAGTGCAGACTGTGAATGGTTAACTTGAAAGCGCAGTAATTTGGGGAGGTTTTGAAGTACCCAGTTTATCAGAGCGGAGGCTTGTGTGCATGAAAACATGGTATGTTTCCTGTATGGAAATAGCTGCTGAACTTCTCCGTACTCAACTCCTCAGTCTAGCCGAGGACAGAAATGTTAGCCTACCTTCTGGAAAGGTTACGAGGCTAAGTGGCTTGCTTTACATCGTACAGCACCTTCCATGTAAGGAACCCAAATGGCTTTTTAATAATATAAGCCTTCTTGCTTTACAGGAACAGTGACTAATGGCTAAGACTATCCCAGTGGGAAGGAAGGAGAAATCAGTGATTATTCCTCAGGAATACTGAAGTGCCCCTGGAATAAGCCAACATTCTTCAGTAACGATCACCAGTAACTCTTTATACTCCAACAAACTGTTTCTGTACATGAAACAAAGTTCTGTTCCTTGTTTTGTATCTTGTGTCTGGAAAGTGCAAGGAAGAGCTCTTCTGGGAAATAAATAAAACAGAAATGGCCTTTTCTGGTGTGTTGACTTTGTATGTGAGTGAGAGCGAGAGAATGCAAGGAGAGGACTTCCTTTTGAATACCTAGCAGCTGTGACCACCTGGGTAAAGCCACTGTGAAAGTTCTTCAGAAAAGACAGCCGTCGAATGTTCCTCTCCACTCCTGAAAGGCAACCCCCATCAAACATACAGTTCAAAGAAGCATTCCCACCTCATAAATCACCCGCTAGACCCCTGCTGCTGGTGCCGGTGTTTGGAGAGGAATATAAATACTCCTATGTCCTGTTTGTTCAGTTGCCCTTTAGAACTGGAATTTTGTCCTCTCCACAGAGGCATAATAGAAAAGGGCAAATCCGAACTGTGTGACTAACTCGGCTAGCTGGTGGTGTCTCTTGAAGCTTTGAGTCATGGAGTGAACGAAGGTTGAGACTTTCCTGGTACAGTGGGCTAATTAAACAGATGCACAGGTCATCTGGCTCAGAGCCTACATTTTAGGTTGATTGTTTTTTCATCCCTCTTCTGGGGGAGAACGTTTAGATTTCAGTGTCTGGGAATGGGTCACAAATATTTAAAGCTATTTATTGCCTTGGCAAGTCACTGATCCAAGTACTCCCTTCTACTTTACGTTTACCCCAGTCCTTGTAATTATTTGTTGGCGTGTAGCCTACTGCTCTTCTCCTGACTTGAGAAGTCTCTTCACCGCTTCTTCACTCAGTGCAATTTTGTAGCTGTTGAGATGGCTCTTAAGGACTTTTCTTCCCCACGGTTAAGATGCTTGCTGCCTATTGTCCGTGTAGCACAAGCTGCAATTACGGGTCTGCTGAGACAGAGAGAGAGTGTTAGAGGTCGACACTGAGCTTTCCCTTACTTAAAGCCTGTTCTGCCCTATGGAGAGCACAGGCAGATGGGAAGAATGACAACAAATCCCTCTCCAGAAAGGGGAGACGAGAGAAAGCAAGTTGCGCAATGTTTGTTTTTAAAACCATGCCAGAAAAGGAAGGGGGTGGACTAAGGGGCAGTCTTTTAAGTTTAGAGAGCTTGAGAAACTCCTTGCCTTATTGAGCAATGGGACTGGGATTTGGTCTGGGTGCTCCAGGAGTCCTGCACCCGCACATCCCCTAGGGCACTTGTGTACGGAGCCTGCACCCTGAAGAAACATGTTGAGCTGTGCCCAGAGTCAACAGAAGCTGAAGAGGTAGCCTAGAGCAATGGACTTGTGAAACAAAATAGCTTTAATGCCAGAGCAGCATTAAAGACTGTCAAAGCATGATACCATCCAGGACCATTGCTTGAGCATGTCCTTGTTTTTCCACCTCCTCCCTTGCCGGACTGCATTCATCAGTCAAAACAGCTTATTGGAAACAGGATCTCTTTCTTTCTTCCCAATTTCGAATCATTTTATCTGGCCCCAATTTTTAATTTGAACTATGTACTTTGGAGCCATAGCTCCTCTGTGGTTTGGAAAGTGTTTTTATTGAGTTCTCTGTGTGCGCTGCAATGCTAGCAGTCTGGGAAGCCAGTAGGTTCAGCTGGAGAGAAGAGCATCAACCTGGGCAAGAAACTGGAGACTAAAGCAAAGTGGTTGTGGTGCTCTGAAAACAATCACTCTCAATGTGCAGAAAAAGCCTTAGTTAGTGCTATGTGTTTTGGCCCATGATGACGGGTGCCCCTTTCATTTAGCGTCCCTGGTAATTATAAAATCAGATGAGTTGTCCCTCTCTGGTGTGCTCTGCTTTCGTTCAAATATGACTTGTCGGAGTTAGTTCTTACTTAGTCTGATCTGCTGGGGACTGTGGTCCTTCCTGACCCTGGAACTCAAAGGGAATTGATAACTGTTCACAATGTGTTATTTACTGCTAGAGTGCGAATGCTCAGAACAAATTTTCTTGCTCGTTACTGCGAAATTCACTAGTGTAAGCGTGGAAATTTTTTAGGTGGTCTTACACAATTTTACTCTACAAAGTGGAATTTAAATTTTCTCATTGTTCTTTAAAGGGGGTAAGAACTGAATGTTTTTGTTTTTCACAGCTGCCTTCTTGTTGTCGTTTGCACTGTACATATGTGTATACACACACACACACACACACACACACATGCATAACTAGCACATAATTCGTCTGTACTTGTTTTGGTTTAATTAAAATTGTATTATTCAAAACCTATTTTTGAACCTGTCTGTATAAGCTGTGCAAAATATCTCCTTTTGAGGACAAGTCTCCTGTTTCCCTCTATGGGAATGAGACCATACTGTTCCCAACTGAGGTTGGAATAGGAATGGTTTCCTGCTGCTTGATTTCTAATTACATAAATGGAAGGGGAAAAAGTGGAAATTCTAAGTACCAAAAGGCATGTTAAATTTAGTGTAATACACTCATCTGGAAACTATCACATTTTTCCTTCTTCTTAAGCCTGCTGAAATCATTGCCTCGACTAACTGTAGCATGATTTGGACCAGTACCAAAAAGTGCAAACAAGATAGGCCTCAAAAAGTCAGGTGTCCCTACCCAAAACTTAATGGGACCTTTTAGTGGACAAGTTACTGTCTCACCTTGGTGCAATTTTAGTAGGAAATTGGTAGGTATAAAGTGAATAAAGAAACCATATCTCTGTCTGGGGGAAGGAAAAAAAAAAAAAAAGAAGAAGCTGTTTGCTAAATAGAACTGGTTTTGAACGTTTAACAACTCCCTGAGTGCTTGACTGGCCACAAATCTGACTCTTAACAGCTTGATTAGATGTCTGCTGAGGCTTTGAGATGAATAAACAAGTCATGGAAAAGCAGAGACTGCAGGAAAAAAAATATCAAGCTGCTTTTCTATTGTTTATCTGAGTTCTTCATGTTTGATCAAGATACCGTCATTTCTTTGTATTTCAATCATGCCTAGGAGCCCTAGCCAAGATCAGGACCTTGCTGTATGTGGTGCTGTACACACAAATAAAAACCAGTCCCTGCCCTGGAGAATTTACAAACTAAACAAATGAGATTAAGGGTGGTAAAAGGGTTTATAATTCCCATTTTAAAGATGGGAGGAACTGTAGCCAAGGTCAATGATAAGTCTTGGAGGGAATGTGGCATGCAGCTGAGACTCTAATTTGAGTCTTGAGCCGTTGACTCAATCAGCCTTCTTTTCTGACTCTTTTTTTGCTTGGCAGGTCATGGAGTCTCAGGCGAAAGCTGCCCACTTCATAGTCTGGGAGACTCCAGAAGGGTATGCTCTGTAACCGTTTGCTCCCCTGACATTGCCCCAAATTCTTCCTAGCAAATCTCTAATGAGCTGGCAATTCTGTTTTCTTGTGCCTGAAGTGATTGCTTCTAATGAGTACAAAACATTGACGTCCTCGATATTGACTTCAGCGTAAACCTGAGTCTGGAAAGGAGATAAGGTAATAAAATCTGTTCCCAATTCTGTGTATTACAACCACATCTAGGAGCCCTTCTCATGGAATAGGATACTGCTGTGTTAGGTACAACGTAAGCATAGTACCAGAAGATGGTCAGTGCCTTAGCAGATCGTAGTCTTAAATAGGAAATTAGGTAACAGATACAGGGAGAGGGAGGAGATCAAGGGGACAGTATCATTCAAGTAGTGGAGGCGCAGTGGTGATAGCGTTAGTGTTAACTCTTCCAGAGGGTTCACAAGGGTGATTCTCCAAAGGAAAAGGCATTGGTTTTCCGGATGTTTTCACTGAGTTCTCCGCAAGCTTCTGGAGCAATGCAGAAGAAAGCGCGAAGGTACTGGCTTTCAGAAGCAAGCACCTGGCCGGATGACTGGACTCAAAGAGGCTGTGGTTATCCTGATAGTGAGAGATGGGCTGGAAATGGTAGAAAGAAGTAGAGCTGTAGCTCTTAGGCTTTAGCTAGAAAGGAAAGGCTAGTGGCGGAGCTGGGGAGGACGTGCTGGGACCACCACTTCTTGCAGCAGTGTTCTGAATCAGCAAGGCATTGCTGACCCTTTCTCTTGCTCTGGGCTGGCTGTGTGTTGTTGCTTTCCCCCCACAATAGGCGCATCCTGACAGTAGGAAATAAACTAACTTTTTCTTTCTCTTCCTTGTCTCCCACCCCACCCCTGCCTTTGTAAACGGGACTGGTGTGAATTTTGGCAGGCTGGCCCCAGTAGGCAGCTGTATGCAATGCGTACTGTGTCTTAACTGCTCTGAGAGTCCAGTGTATAGGCCACCCACAGTGAAATGCTTAACTGAGATTGAAACTAAACGGGAACAGAGTTTATGGAAATTCAGCTGTGGATTGCTGTTTCTCTTGTGACTTCTGGCTGTCAGCACTTAGCTGTACAGCAATGCCAGCTATTTGGAGCTGGATGTTCCTTGTGGTGGATACTCACCTCCTGTATCTTAAAAAGATGCTGAGAAAGTTGTTGGTGGCTAATAAATCACTCTTCATCTATAGTCTTTATTGGTACTGCTCGTAGGGACTCCAGCTCTGGGTTAGGAGTGTCTTCCCCTTCCTAGAAACGGTCATGCCCTTATCAGTTCAAATTCAGTTCATAAATCTCTTCTTGTATGAAGGAGTATGTTTCTTTTTAGAAGGTCTAGAGGATATTCTTCCTCCCCCTCAGTGCTGCGCTTGACCTAGTGACTAACAGCTTAACCCAAAGCCATTGCTAATCCCATGAGCCATGCATTCCCTGAGGATTTAGGAGTCCAGTTGGGATAGAAGGTTTCTAGCTTCTAGCCACCGAAGCGCAGTGTCATTCCCCGTGGAACAATGTGCATTTTATAGGCGGATTCATAGTCGGCTAGACTCAACTCTGGCTTGCAGGCTAGGCCCTGAGGGACAGTGCTTTGCTACTTGGAGGACAGTAATGGCTCCTATAATTTACCCTGCTTGCTTCCTAACATCCCTGGTATTTTCAGAGAATTTTTAAGAATTCCTAGATTTGTACTGCCGTGGGTATGGCATCCTCTGCCAATCACATTTTTCACCCTGACTGAATCTCCTGGGAATGCAGACTGCTAGATGATGACCTCAGGAATGTGGGCTGTATTGGGTCTAAGGCACGGACACTCCCCCTCTCTCTGCAATACCCAAGCGCTTGCGGGATGGCTTTTATCCCCAGCCCTGACAAGGATAACCTGTGACCCTGAGCAAGTTATTTAACCTCTCTGAACCCCAGTTTTCTCCCCTGTAAAATGGAAGTGATGATACTCTCTCCGCTTGGTTGCGGCTTTGAGACCTGCTTCATTCAGAGGTAAAATTCAGCTCTGTACTGCGAGCTAGCATATATTCTGGGACCCCAGAGTTCGCTACCCATCTGCGCTGGATTGAATCTCACTCCGCAGTTCACAGAATACTTTGGCTTCTGCCCTTCGAGGATACCAGCAGAACAATGTGAAGGTGTGCTTTGGAAAGGTGAGTGGTACTGCACTTTCTTAGCACACTTTCATTTCTTCCGGTCACCTGCTTCTCTATCACCGAACTCCTGGGCCTTCTTTCCAAGAAAGGATGCCATAGCACAGAGCAGTAAGGGAGTAGAGAGAAAAGGCTGTGGTTATCAGTGGAATAAGGGGAAAGAGGCTTAGGCTAAAGGATATATGTGCCGTGGGTTACATAGTCTGTCTCTCCTTAGGGGTCTCTTTCTAGGTTCAAAGGTTGGCTGAGGCCACATGAAGAGAAAGTCATTTGGTGTCCTGATGGTCCCCACGTTTGATCTGCAAGAGCACAGTGCTCTAAGGTCTGTGGGTGCCGTGTCTCCCTCCGGAGCCAGTACAATGCCTAGTGTTTTTGTTATTTTCATTAATAATCTGGAAGGAAATGTAAAAATGGTGCCTGATTAATAACTGCTACTTAGTGAGATACTCTGAAAGTGAAAAAGGAGCAGTGTAAATTTTAATACAGTCAAATGTGGAATTCAGTATCCAGACACAACGAGTGCAGATCATACCTAGGCACTGTAGGACTCCATTCTGCAGAAGACTTGGGTGGGGGGTTATGGTTGGTAAGGGACTAAGCACCCAATCTTCACTGCAAAACAGAGGCCTGCACCAACCCTTGAACAAAGAGACAGACATCAGGAATGTGTGTTGGGAGAGATTAGATGGCCAGGTTAAAATATGAAAGAACCTTCGTGGAAGGGAAGAAAATGCAGGAACTGAAGGATTTGCTGACAGAAAGAGGCCTAAGGAGAGGCAATGGCTAGAGGCTGAAGCCCGACCCATGCAGACGATTAGTGAGGCACTGAATGACAGTAGTGCAGCCGGGACGAACTAGCAAAGGAATGGGTGGATTTCTCAGCTCTCGGTGTTTCTGGAGCTTTTCTGGGAGTCCTGTTCTATCCAGACAACGAGTTTCTGTGCTCCACCTGGGAGTAACAGGGTGAAATCTAATGACTTGTAACACACATGGATTTATATCAGATGATCTAACTGTTCCTGTTGGCCACAAATTCTCTTAAAACTTCTGAGGCCAGAAAGGTTGACTGCATTGTTCTTGGTCTCTGTCCCGTGGCTTAATCTGGTATGAACTAAAGGCAGAAAAGTTTCAGCTCAAAGACCCTGTTTGTTAGACACTCCCTGAAGATGTCCCTGGCGTGGTTCTCAGATGTAAGACGACCTATTTCTATGCCGATCGTTACTGCTTTGTTCTCCCAGCTCCTCCCTTTTGGATTGTTTTCTCTTCCTTGGTTTTGTTTGAGGGAATGGCGGATGGTGTGTGCTCTTTTTTTTTCCCCCTTTTTGTTTTTTTTCCCTTTTTCCGGGCATGGGGCCCAGTTTTTGTTGTATTCTCTCGGAAGATTACATGGTTTCGTAGATAATCTGTCAGGAGATGGGGTGTTTCGTATGTCAATAAATACATCTTTGAATGATAGATGGATAGAAGCCGAGGGCTGGGATCGCAGGAGCGTCTGAGGGCTGGGACTGAGGTGCGCTGGAAGGACAGTACGGGAAAGTCTGCCTAGTGGCGCTCTCTGCACTGAACAGAGACCATGAATTTACTGGATTTTTTAAAGCCTGAGAAATAATTGCCTTGAATCTTTGAGAACATCCTAATAGGGGACACGCTTGTGGGAGGCTCTAGTTTACTATCTGCTAACATGTGGATTTTATATCCATATTAGGAATAAATAGAGGTAGGCTGGCAGTTTGAGAGAAGGTCACTGTGACTCCTCTGAGCACAGGATGAGCCTATAATTATTTAACTGAGGCTTCCCTCGTCTGGCCCATGAAGTAGTGTTAACTCTTGTCATGCATGGGAGCAGCTACCGAGGCAGTCGCTACTCGTGGGACTGTTAACAAAAATTAAAAACGGGAAATTGGTCCAGTGCTAGCACAGATCTGTTGGCGTGTTCAAGAAAGCAGGGATAAGCTGAAGACTCCTGGCCGTGTCCCCGGGCAAGTTACGTTCAGTTCCTCATCAGCTGCAACAGTGTTATCTGCTGCGCGTACTCAGAAGTCACGATCCTGCTTCAGGGCAGGAGGAGAGGGAAGGGATGGAAGCAGACTTGTCAAGGTCCCACATATCTATGAGTTTATGAACCACGCCCTCTAAAATATGAAAATCCTGTTATCACCTTAAGGTTTATATTTGCATTTATCTTCTGTGCGATGGGGAGAAGGGGGAGCGGAGGAATGTAATCTTCTGGGGAACACATCCATTCTTTCACCTCTGGTGCCTTCATTTCAAAGCAGCTGAAATTCTCATGTAGTAACAGGACTGCAGAAGCAGTTCTGACTTTGAGCGCTTTTCCTAAAGGCCAGGGAGTTTGCGCAGGAGCCTCTCTCCACGCGACCGCAGCGCAGTGTTGCTCTGGGCTGAGTCACCCCGCTTCAGGCGGGTGCTGGTTTCCTTTCGGTAATGTGCAAAATGTTCCCTGCGCACATGTGTGTGTTCTAAGTTTGTACTGCTGGTTGTCAGGCCGTAGGCGCTGCGGTGCCAGAACCGTCTCTAAACACATACAGCACCTATTGCGACTTGGCCCCGAGCTTGCCTGGGGCCTCCGGGCAATGCCGCAAGAGAAATAATTCATCTAATACCGGGTTCTGAGCGAGTGCAGCGAGGGGAAGGTCTGCAGCCAAAAAATAAGATGGTTATCAGAGGGGGCTTAGCCGGTTGTAATGGAGTCGGAGGAAGCCGGTATTTCTGAAGGAGAAAGAAAAAACAGTTTGAACTCTTAGGAGAGAGGACACCTGCAAATGAAGCCCCTTCCCGGATAGGAACTGTCCCCGCAGACGTGAGCCGAGCAGGGGAAGGAGCATGCGTGACCCGAGTTGCTGGGGAAGAGAGGGAGGGAGGGAAGAAGGGGCCTGGGCAAGGTGGAAAACAAAGCGATTAAACACACTTGGACTTGCTCGGAGATGGGAGGGGTAAGTTTTATATACATATATATATATACAGATAAATATATATATACACTGCTGCCCCAGGGCCCTGGACCGTGTTGGCGCTGCACTACCGAGAAACCACTAATCCCAGGCGCCGAGGGGAGGGGAGGGGGCTTTCGCGGTCTCTCCCGTGCGCTCGGACCCCCGTTGAAGGCAAGGCTGATGGGATTAGAGGAAACAGCTGGCTCGAGCCTTGCCCTGCGGGAGCTCGCGTTCGCAGGGCTCGCGCGGAGAGGAGCGCCCCGCTGCCGCGTCGCATTCCAGGTCGTTTGCTGAGCCCAGATGTTTTCAGACGAGCTCTGTGATAAATCCTCTCCCTCCACTACCGAGCATGGTGCCTGGCAGCCAGGCCGGCCCCTGGATCTTGGTTTCTACCCACGGTCAGGCGAGCTGGACTTTCAAGCCAGCTGGCCAAATTATCGCTGGGACTCGTGCCCCTCCGCCGTGCCCGTGCGGAGGGCTTCGGCTCGGGGCTCAAGCCTGTTATCCCAGAGCCGCGGCCCGCCGGAGGCCACCCGGGCCAAATTCCC